TGCTCAGTGGATCTTATCTGTTCTACATTTAATAGGTCGTTGGATTCTTTCCAGTTTGTGGCATTATGATTAATGTTGCTATGACATTCCTGTGCTTGTTTCTCTGTTCCCATGTGGATATTGTATATTTATGTTGGGTACACATCTAGGTGTGGAGTTGCTGGATCACAGGCTCTGCATGTTACTGGAACACTTTTAACAAGTAATGTTAAACGGTTTTCCAAGGTTGTTAGACCAATTTTTACTCCCATCAGCAGGGGCTTTCCACAGCTCTACATTTTACCAACACTTCTATTTTCAGTTGTTTTCCTTTAACCACTCTGGAGGGTATGTAGTGGTATCTCATTTAATGTGCATTTCCCTGATGACTAATGGGAATGAGCACTTCTTCAAGTGTTTTGGGGCCTTTGAGGTGTCCTCTTCTGTGAAGTGCCTGGGAAGTTTGCCCATTTTTCTTTTGGTTCAGTTTGCCTGGCTTTTTTTTTTTTTTTTTTTTTTCTGAGACAGAGTCTTGCTCTGTCACCAACACTGGAGTGCAGTGGTGCAATCTTGGCTCACTGCAACCTCCGCCTCCTGGGTTCAGGCGATTGTCCTGCCTCAGCCTCCCATGTAGCAGGGACTATAGGCATGTGCCAACACGCCCAGCTAATTTTTGTATTTTTAGTACAGACGGGGTTTTGCCATGTTGGCCAGACTGCTCTCAAACTCCTGACCTCAGGTAATCCACCTGCTTCGGCCTCCCAAAGTGCTGGGATTATGGGATTACAGGCGTGAGCCACCGCGCCCGGCCTAAACATGGGCTATCTTAATTGTTCTTAGTAATGTTTTTCATCTTGTTATGGAGGTTTTCCTCATCTTTTTTCAGATGTATTTCTAGATATTTTATATATTTTTGGTATTATTACAAATGGAATACTTTTAAAAACTTTATTTCCTAAGGTTTGCTGTTATATAAATAAATATACAGTTGATTTTCATATATTGATTTAATATGCAGCAAACTTTCTCAACTCACATTATAATTCTAATATTTTTAAATAATATTTTGGACTCTGTACATTAATAATCACTTTATTTGAATAATAATAGTTTTATTTTTTTCCTTTCTCGGCTTTTATTTCTTTTGTTTGTTTGTTTTTTGGTCTTACTGCACTTACTATGACCCCCCCCCACTACAACATTGTATAATAGCAGAGTTAGCAGGCAGGCTTGCCTTGCTCCTAGTCTCAGAGGCAATGCTATCAACATTTTATCATGAAGTATGTGATGCTTGGGCCTTTAGTGGATATCACTTATCAGATTAAGAAAATCTCCTTCCCTTTTTTTTTTTTCTTTTTTTGCCTAAAATCATTATCTTGACTGAATGTTGAATTTTCTTTTATATGCTTCTTAACTTTAATTTGTTAATCTGATAAATTACATTGATTTTGTTTATTTATTTAGAGACAAGGTCTCACTCTGTCACCCAGGCTGGGGTGCAATGGTGCAACCACAGCTCTCTGCAGCCTTGACCTCCCTGAGCTCAGGTGATCCTCCCACCACAGCCTCCCAAGTAGCTAGAACCACAGGTGTGTACCACCACACCTGGTTAATTTTTTTCTTTGTTTGTTTTGTATAGATGGGGCTTCACCATGTTGCCCAGACTGGTCTTGAACTCCTGGGGTCACGCACTTCTCCCACCTCAGCCTCCCAAAGTGCTGGAATTACAGAAGTGAGCCACTGTGCCCTGCCAATTTTCATTTATTTATTTATTTATTTATTTATTTATTTTTGAGACAGGGTCTCACTCTGTCACCCAGGCTGGAGTGCAGTGGTACAATCACAGCTTACCACAGCCTTGACCTCCTAGGCTCAAGTCCCACCTGGGCATCCTGAGGAGCTGGGACTACAGGCGCACACCATTAGTTAGTTTTTAAATTACTTGTAGAGACAGGGTCTCCCTATGTTGCCCAGGCTGGTCTCGAACTCATGGGCTCAAACAACTCTCCCATCTTATCTTCCTAAAATGCTAGGATTATAGGTATAAGCCACTGTGCCTGGCCTGATTTTTTAATATTAAACAAACTTTGCATCTCTTGAATATATATTGCTGGATTTGGTTTGCTCATACTTTACATAGGATTTTAAAATCTATATCCTTGAGTAAGATTGGCCTAGAATTTTCCTCTTATGAATGTCCTTGTCAGGTTTTGATACTGACTTCATAAAAACAAGTTGAAGTACATCTCTTCTTCTGTTCTCGGGAAGAATTTGTGTAAGACTGGCTTGTTGTGACTGTTTCAGCCCACTCTTGATACTATCGAGTGGAGTATTAGTGAATGGAAGCGAATTTATGAAGGAGAATATATCCTTCCTGAGGTGTAAAATGATAAAAAAAAAAAAAAGGGACCAACATTTTTTCTCTTTAAGCAACTAGAGATGTCAGAGGTAGTTTTAGGATCATTAGGTACTGAAATATTTTAAATTTATTTTAAGTTATATAAATACTGCTACTCATTATAAAACAAAATATCTTCTGTTTTTATTTTGGTTTTGGGCTTCATTAAAAAGACGATCATGGCCGGGCGCGGTGGCTCAAGCCTGTAATCCCAGCACTTTGGGAGGCCGAGGCGGGTGGATCACGAGGTCAAGAGATCGAGACCATCCTGGTCAACATGGTGAAACCCCGTCTCTACTAAATATACAAAAAATTAGCTGGGCATGGTGGCACGTGCCTGTAATCCCAGCTACTCGGGAGGCTGAGGCAGGAGAATTGCCTGAACCTGGGAGGCGGAGGTTGCGGTGAGCCGAGATCGTGCCATTGCACTCCAGCCTGGGTAACAAGAGCGAAACTCCGTCTCAAAAAAAAAAAAAAAAAAAAAAAGACGATCATGTTATGTCTTTTGTACTACAACTTTTTCATTCATGATGTAGCATGGACATCTCTTCATATTATTTATCATTTATTTATTTTGTTAATTTACGTTTAACTTTTACATAATGTTCCAAAGTGTGCATCATCACGATAGATTTAGCCAGTTCTCCATTAGTGGATATTTGGTTGTACCAATATTTTTGCTGTTGCCAAGGATGCTCAGATGAACATTCTTATATGTCTTTGTGCATTTGTGGAATCTATATTAAGATACAGAAATTGGGCCGGGCGCGGTGGCTCAAGCCTGTAATCCCAGCACTCTGGGAGGCCGAGGCGGGTGGATCACGAGGTCAAGAGATCGAGACCATCCTGGTCAATATGGTGAAACCCCGTCTCTACTAAAAATACTAAAAATTAGCTGGGCATGGTGGCGCGTGCCTGTAATCCCAGCTACTCAGGAGGCTGAGGCAGGAGAATTGCTTGAACCCAGGAGGCGGAGGTTGCGGTGAGCCGAGATCGCGCCATTGCACTCCAGCCTGGGTAACAAGAGCGAAACTCCGTCTCAAAAAAAAAAAAGATACAGAAATTGAACGGTAGGATCATAAGTTATGTCCATTTTTCAGTTCAATAAATATTACCAAGTTGTCTTCCAAAAATGCCTAATGTTGTATTGTTTTGTTTTGTTTTTGAGGCAGGGTCTGACTCCTGTCACCCAGGCTGGAGTACAGTGGCATGATCATGGTTCACTGTAGCCTCAACTTCCTGGGCTCAAGTGATCCTCATGCTTCGGCCTCCTGAGTAGCTGGAACTACAAGTGCATGCCACCATGCCCAGCTATTGTTTTGTATTTTTAGTAGAGATGAGCTTTTGCCATGTTGCCCAGGCTGTCAGCAGGAGGCCTCAGTTCCTCACCATGTGGTACCTTCCAGAGGGATGCTTGGGAGCCCTCATGTCATGGCAGCTGGTTTTCCCCAAAGCAACAAAGAGCAAGGCAGGAACAACAGTGTCTTTCGTGACCTAGTCTCAGAAGCCATACACCATCACTTCTGCAATATTCTAGAGGTTACACAGATTGGCCCTCTTCATTGTGGGAGGGAAACACACAAGGTGATGAATAGGAAGAGGTGAGGATCACTGGAGCCATTTTAGGAGGCTGGTGACCACACATGGGACATGGATTGAATACAGAAAAGTCCATGGGAAATGGTCTTCTGTCTGGTTCAGGTGCTGATTATCACGCCACATTTTCCCCAAGATTAAGAGCCATTAAGTTTGTAAAATGAGGATAGCAATTTATATTCTCAGCATTTTTCATAAGGTAAAATAAGATAGTAAAGGTAAAGCACCCAACATAGGACCTCACAAATGTCTGGAATTTTTTTTTCTTTTTGAGATGGAGTTTCGCTCTTGTTGCCCAGGCTGGAGTGCAGTGGTGTGATCTTAGCTCACTGCAGCCTCCGCCTCCTGGGTTCAAGCAATTCTCCTCTCTCAGCCTCCCAAGCAGCTGGGATCACAGTCATGCACCACCATGCCAGGCTAATTTTGTATTTTTAGTAGAGACAGGGTTTCACCATGTTGGCCAGGCTAATCTCAAACTCCTCACCTCAGGTGATCCACCCGCCTCAGCCTCCCACAGTACTGGGATTACAGGCGTGAACCACCACACCTGGCCCCATGTTTGCAATTTAATAGCATCTATTTGTGATGATTATCCTTTTATTTATTTTTTTTTTCTTTTTCTTTTTTCTTTTTTTTTTTTAGAGACAGGGTTTCACCATGTTGGCCAGGCTGGTCTCGAACTCCTGACCTCAGGTGATCCGCCTGCCTCGGCCGACGTAGCTTAAGACCAACCTTCATAAATATACCTGGCAGAATGAATACGCCATTTACTATATTAAGTTGATCCTGAATTGTTTATTATCTACAAGTCCAGATAATTTTGCTGAACTAATGGTCCCTACAGTATTTAAGCCACCTACATCAGTGTAGTTGCTGGATTTGCGTTGTTTAAGGCACACACATAAACACAGCTTGTATCTACTATTGGAATGTACCTGGAAAGTCATGGCCATTATACTGTTTTCTAGCAGGAATATGTATGTGTGATTCACAAAGGCTACGGAAGGATACAGCACTACCTACTCACCGCATCAACAGGTGCACTGTAGAGAATCCACAGTCTTCTAGGTACTCACTTCTGTATCTTTTTGTCCTCTAACAGATGGAAGTTTACTGTTCTGATTTTCATGCTGAAAGAGCAGCAAGAGAGAAAATTCATGAGGAAAAGGAGCAACTGGCATTGCAGCTGGCAGTTCTGCTGAAAGAGAATGACGTTTTCGAAGATGGAGGCAGGTAAGGAAAAAGAGACAGGAGGACCCAGAGCTCACATCAGCATTAGCTGTAGAAGAGGGTGCCTGCTCAAAGACGTTTCTGATTTGAACTATAAGAACAGCTCTTGCCGGGTGCGGTGGCTCAAGCCTGTAATCCCAGCACTTTGGGAGGCCGAGGCGGGTGGATCACGAGGTCGAGAGATCGAGACCATCCTGGTCAACATGGTGAAACCTCGTCTCTACTAAAAATACAAAAAATTAGCTGGGCATGGTGGCACGTGCCTGTAATCCCAGCTACTCAGGAGGCTGAGGCAGGAGAATTGCCTGAACCCAGGAGGCGGAGGTTGTGGTGAGCCGAGATCGCGCCATTGCACTCCAGCCTGGGTAACAAGAGCGAAACTCTGTCTCAAAAAAAAAAAAAAAGAACAGCTCTGTGTGGGTTGAGGCTGCAATGAGCTGTGTTCACGCCACTACACTCTAGCCTGGATGACAGAGCGAGACCCCTGTCTGAAAGATAAATAATAGTAACAATGGCTTCACTTACACTTCACGTGATTATGTTCCCAACACTTAGTGTGTCTTACAGGAAAGCTTGACAGAGACTCTGGGAGCTTGATCAAGCTCTCTGCTTTTAGATAAGCTGAAAAACAGTAACATTACGTGTCCCGGTGACCTCTGTTGCCATCGTCATGGATGAAATATTCATAGTACCTTAAATTCCTTAATATTCTTTTAAAAAATACTGCCAAAAATTACTTCTGACTTTTAGAAATTTATTTTGAGAAAGTTTTGAAACGCAGCAAAACACAGAGAATAAAATACCAAACTCTAATATGTACTCCATCCTGCACTGACAGTTGCTTTTATTTGCTTCAAGTATTTTTTTTATGAAAGGAGAAAAGGGAGTCGCAGATAAGGGTGGTAGTCTCCTTTGTTCCCCATTCATCACTGTGTTCCTTTCTTCCTTTTCCTCGTGCTGTGAGGAATTTGGTGGGTAGCTTCCCCATCTGTTTTATACTTTTTACATATTACACACACACCTATATCATATCTCAAAACCAGATAACATTGGTTTTTCTGTGTTTAAGTTGTAAAATGGTCACTATAGGTATTGTTCTGCAACCCACTTTACATAATGTTGTGATTTTGAGCTCTATGTTGATATGTGCAGCTGTAACGTATTACACTTCATTGCTGTATTTTGATTTATAAACATGCCACTTCTTTCTAATCTGTTTCCTGTTGATGACAGTTTGGTTATTTCCTAATGTTTTTAACCATAGTTACTTACTTTCACAGCTTAGTCTCCTAGTGCCAGTAGTATTTACAACTAAAATTACTCTGATTTTTTATGAACCTTGGGGGTGTAGTTTGACTCTTTTTCTCCCCTGCTTCTGTTGACTGTCTGCTCAATGTTGTCACGTTTCAGGGATGTAGCATGTCAAATGTAGTGTTGCTTTTCATCCCAGCAGGCAGTCCTTGATGGAGATGCAGAGCCGTCACGGGGCGAGAACGAGTGACGCCGACCAGCAGGCTTACTTCGTTCAGAGAGGTGAGTCCCGTGTGATCCTGGATTTTCAGGAAATAGCTACCCTATGAGAAAGACACTTGAAGAAAACATCCACTTCATTCTATACAATGGATTCCAAATCAAGGCACCAAAAATGTAGCACCCGTCAGTCTCATTTCCATAGCACTGCCATCTTCATCCATTACCCACCGATTCCAGACCAGACTCAGATTCTTCACCCTGCCAGAGGGTGCCTGGCACAGCCACACTTTTTCTTTCTTCTTTTTTTTCTAAATCGAGACAGAGTCTCACTTTGTTGTCTAGGCTGGAGCACAGTGGCGGGATCTCGGTTCACTGCAACTTCCACCTCCCAGGTTCAAGTGATTCTCCTTCCTCAGCCTCCCAAGTGGCTGGAATTACAGGTGTGCACCACCGCGCCCAGTTAATTTTTTATTTTTAATAGAAATGGGGTTTCATCATGTTGGCCAGAATAGTCTTGAACTCCTGACCTCAAGTGATCCACCTGCCTCTGCCTCCCAAAATACCAGGAATACAGGTGTGAGCCACTGTGTGCAGCCTGCAGCCACACTTTTAAGCCATAACTTACTGTGTTCTCTTACGGATATTAGCCAGACTGATTCATCCCCTTGAACTTGTCCTAAGCCTGTGCTTGCAAGTCTTTTGTTACGCAGTGCCCTTCACAGATGCCCTTTTCTTATGCATGTTCCTGTCTTCCTCCAGTCTCTCTCCAGTGACCTCTTACCCCAGCTTTACAATCTATTTCAAATTCCATCTCCATGAAATGTTTCCACTTTGAACTTCCAAAGTACTTTATTCCTGTATGTTAGTATCTATCTGCTGTTTTATAGGTGTTTATGTGTTCTAGTTAGGTATTTTTATTTCTATTTTTATTTTGAGATAGGGTCCCACTCTGTTGCCCAGCCTGAAGTGCAGTGGCATGATCACGGATCACTGCAACCTCTGCCTCCCGGGTTCAAGTGATTCTCCTGGCTCAGCCTCCTGAGTAGCTGGGACTACAGGGGCACGCCACCATGCCTGGCTAATTTTTGTATTTTTAGTAGAGAAAGGGTTTCACCATGTTGGCCAGGCCAGAAGTCTCAAACTCCCGACCCCAGGTGATCTGCCAACCTCGGCCTCCCAAAGTGGTGGGATTATGGGCATGAGTCACTGTGCATGGCCTAAGTACTTTACTCAATGATGCGCTCCCTTGGAACAGTATTTTCACCCACTACCTGGTGTTACATTAATAATGTCACCATTTATTGAGCATTTACTATGTGTGGGCACTGTGCTGATCTCACTTTGTACATTTTGTCTCATTTGAGCTAACAAAATTCTAGGAGATTTATATTACTGCCTCCTTACAGAAGACAGATGAAACTTGACAGAGTTAAATAGCCCAGGATGGTGACGCTAGTTCAAGATAGATTAGAAGTGGAATCCAAAGTTATCTGACTCTGACCACTAAACATTACTGAATAGAATAGATCGTTATTTAATTATGTAATATATCTCGATTTTAATTCCCCCAAACCCAAGTGAAATTGATCCATGAAATGTCTTAAAAGTATGATGCTGTATTTATTACATGTTTTCATACACTAATAATAATGTTCTCTAGTTTACGATAAAATCACTGTCTTACAGTAAATCACTGAAAGGGAAGTATTATCCTTGATTCTAGATATGAAAAAAAAAACAATAAAATTCAAAGGATCAATGACTGACATTTAGCTAAAAAGTAAAAAATAAAAAGTTGTTAATGAAATGCCACTAAGAAGAGTTTGGCCTTAGGATGCCATCTTAAATTTCATGTGAAACTGGTTCTTTAAATTCTTTTTCTTTTTCTTTTTTTTGAGACGGAGTCTTACTCTGTAGCCCAGGCTGGAGTGCCATGGCATGATCTCACCTCACTGCAACCTCTGCTTCCCAGGTTCAAGTAATTCTCCAGCCTCAGCCTCCCAAGTAGCTGGGATTACAGGCATGCACTACCACATCCAGCTAATTTTGTATTTTTAGTAAAGATGGGGTTTTGTCATGTTGGCCAGGCTGGTCTCAAACTCCTGACCTCAAGTAATCCACCTTCCCAAGAGAGGTCTGCTAGAACAGAATGTAGCTTCTCAGAAGCAGAGGCAATGGTCTCATTTATTCAGCAGACACTTTGGAATCCTCTGGGTTGTATAAAGGCCACTGTTTATGCTGGGAATGGGACAGCAGAGGCAGCCCCGGATCCTGACTCCTCGTCTCTGGCAGTGTGGTGATTAGAAAGCTCCCTGCTTTAGAAATCATGCTTTATGATCAATATATATCAGAAATGCTTCTTAAGGCTGCTGAACACAATCTCAAATATTCATACATGTTACTACATTCAAATAATATACTTAGAAGCAAATAAAGGTTGCCTCCCAAAACAAACATTTTGAAGGCCAAAGTCCAGGCTGAGACCAAAAAACCAAGCTGGTTTGCATTGGTCCAGAAAGGTCAGAACAGAGAGATGCCTGGGAGCCAGAAAATGTCCTGGATCAGTCACAGTCTATACAGAACCAAGACCTACCTAGAGTCAGGGCTTATTTCACACATGGTCTAATTGAGGCTTGAACCTCAGTACAACTCCAGAACTCGGGGAAATGACAGGATGCATTCTTCAGTCATTCTTCCTCGTTAACTTTATCTAGATAATTCCTGTTCATTCTCAATGCCCCTCTCTAGTTAATTGGTCTCATCTAGGAGGCCTTTCTGTCCAAGATCTAAACCAGGGGCCCTTCTCTTTCTCACATGGATGCCCTTGCACTTAGCCCTCACCTGGCCTAACACTCGTGTCTGACACCTTGTCACGCCACTGCTGCCACTTCTCTGGCCTGGCTTTTCTACCACATCTGTCTCCCAGCACACAGCAATGTCTCTCATACATCCCAGAGGACTCAAAAGCATCTGCTAACAAATGAGATGATTGCCTCTGCTTCTGGGAAGGTATACCTTGTTCCAGGAAACCTCTCCTGGGCCCTGGATTTCTTTTTCCACATTCCCTCCCTCTTTTGCTTATATCCTCATTCATCCCTTTTTTTCGCTCAAATATCCTAGTGTTCACTAGAACATGCAATGTCCTGTATCTAGAACTGAAACCATGTATTTTCACATAAGTAGAAAGTGGAATACAGTTTCAATCCTAAATGAATGCACCACTGCAACTGTAATCCCAGTATATGAGAGGCTGAGATGGGAGGATCAGTTGAGGCCAGGAGTTTAAGATCAGCCTGGGCAACATAGTGAGATCCCATCCTTAGAAAAAATTTTAAAACTAGCCAGGTGTAGTGGCGTGTGCCTATAGTCCCAGCTACTCAGGAGGCTGAGGCAGGAGATCACTGGAGCCCAGGAGTGAGAGGCTGTAGTGAGCTATGATTGAGCCACTGCACTCTAGCCTGGGAGACAG